CGGCTTCATGCCTCGCCAGCGCCAGCCCGCACTACGGCGGCTCGGAGGGGGCCCAAGAGGACGGCGCAGGAGTCACTTCCGGCCTGCAGGCGGGGTGGGCGGAACCGATCACGCCGGCTTCCGGCGAGGTCTCGGAGCGGCCGCCGGTCGGGTGGGGGTCCAGGACTTCGGCTCCCGGGTTGCAAGTGTGCTCTTCCCACGCTGCGGCTCTCCCTGCGCCTGCAGCGCCGTCTTCTCAGCCACGCCGCTACCGCGCGAGGTCCTCGGAAGCACGCACTGGGTACTTTGTCTTCACCGTCCCAGTGCCTGGGAAGTCCGCTTTATAAAGGATCCGCTTTATAAAAACGCCTCCATACCACCGCTTGTGGGCATGGGTAACTGGCTGCTGCAGCCTTCCGGTTTCCGGTGTGCCGGAACAGCTTGAATAGCTCCTGCGGTGGCCGAGTAACTGCTGTGACCACCTCCAACCTGCACCACGTTCACCTGTGAACTGGGTTTGGCACGTCCTCGGCCCCTGCGCCAGGTATGCTGAATCAGACGCTGGGGTAAGGCCCAGCAACCTGTTCTAATGAACTTCCAGGTAGTTCTGATGCAGGCTCGAATCGATAACCACAAAACGAGATCCACAGGACCGGAGAGAATTGAAGCGCAGCAGACGCAAACGCAGCTGCAGCTGCAGCCCCACCTCCAGCCACTTCCTCGTTCACGGAGGCTGGATCTGAGCCCCACTCTTGGTAAACCTCACTGGTTTGGTGATCTCAAACATATTGGCCTCAGAACCCCTTTACACTCACACACATAATCTCTTTGGTGGTGTTATGTCTAAGTATCAACACTCACCATATTTAAAACAAACATTTTAATAATGCATTTAAAATGAAAAAAACCTGTTACTTGTTAACAAAATTAACTTTTATGAAAAACTTTCCCAAGCCCCTCTGCCCCCAACAGTGAGTAGTATGGCATCCTTTTGCATTACAGAAGCCTCTTAATTTCTGGCGTAACACACAGGGATTCTCATAGCTGCTTCTACATTCATTCTGTTGCAACAGCACATGGCATGTGTCTGGAAAACCCTGCACCGGTAAGAATGAGCAAAAATGGCTACTCGTGTTTTAGTGTTATGAAAATGGTTCTGGCCCTATAAACCTGAGAAGGGTTCAGGGGTCTCAGGACTCCCCAAGTCATACTCTGGCCACTGGTCCAGACCAATCATAATGGGTTCACTGGCGAGCATCAAGCACCAGTGGGCACAGGCCTTGATTCTAGCCCAGGAAAAGTGACAGGGCGGTGTGTCTGGTGGAATGAGACTGTTCAAGACTTCCTCACCTTCTAAGAAGATACTAGCAGAGGTCCGTTATCCACTTCTGAGCCAAGTCAGGTGGCTGCACATCCAGACAGCATTCAATCCAAAGATGAAATCCACATGGGGACATCTCAGTGAGGCTGAGCGGAGCCCAGGTACGCCGTGCCTGGAGCTGTCCTACCTCTGGCCTTGTATTCCTCACCCCATCTGTCCTTAAATATCCTATTCCAGAATCTCAAAAGAGCCTATAAGACATCAGAAGCAAAAAGAGTATCTCTTAGGAGACACAAGTGACAAAGTAATTGTTTAAATGGTTCTTTATTCATAAACTTGATGCAAGTTTACAAAATTTACTGTACATTGCCAAATAAATCCGCAATGAAAAATAAAATCCAAGAAAACGAAGCATGCCAAATGTGCAGCATAGTCTGCTAGCCATCAGGATATTAAAGAATTCGATAACGTATCCAAGACTTAGCCTGAGGTGTAAGGAACTTTAACGCTTTAAAGAATTCGACCTTGTCACTTATCTGACCAACTGGCAATCAAAACTTTATACAAATGGAGCCAAGTGAACAAGAATGCCAGAATACCTTTATCCACCATCCTCTTAACTAAAAGAGAACCAAAAGAAACCAAAACATACAATAATGCAGAAGTGCCAAGTCTCTTGGATATGTTTTACAAAGTTAAAAAATGGAATCTTAAGGCAAATGCGTAAGAAACATTTTTTGAACTTTGTAACTGGTTTTGTGCAGGAAAAAAAAAATGTGCTTCTGAATTTCTTTTTAAAAGTGCTTAATAACTAGAATTTACCTTTAAATCAAACTTGGGTATATAAAAATTTTATTAACGAAAAACGACCGGTTTAGGTAAGGCAATAAAATGGACAGTACAACCATCTGAGCCAGGTTTGGTAAAACAGGACACGTGGAGTGCTCCTATTCATCCGTCAGTGTCAAAGCCACTGTTAGGACCCGAGCACACTCTGCAAGTCTCCAGAGGAGGCATCTTTTTGTACTTAACTGTGCGGCTTTTGCTCAAGGAGTCTGTCTTTGTGCCAATCACTTTATAAGTTTATTAGTTTACAAATGATTGCAACGCCCCATGGATAAAATGGAAATGTAAAATGACTTAGTATTTTCAATAACTTCAAGCTTTATACTGTGGCCCTTCTTAAGAAATAGTGAACCAACAAGCAGCAGATTCAGCCCAGCAAGACTCGGAGGCCCCGTGGGAGTTCCTACTTACGAGCCTTAATTGGCACAGCCTCCTTTGCTTAAAAAGTCCAGTACAACTCAATCGAGAGCGCATCTTCAGGAAGCGAGTCATAGCTTCTCACAGCCATAAAACAAATGTGGCAATTTAATGAGCAGGTTTCCTCTCTTTATTTTGGCAATATCATAAAATGGTTTTAGACCTGATAGAGCTACTGGGATCTGGAAGACCTTACGTACTCTAAACCGATATTGAACATTGATTAAACTTTTAACTGGAATGATCTAGTGCAAACGCTCATAGCCCAGGGGCTCAGTGTAGCAGGGCTGCCCTGAAGACACTTCGGTAGACCGATGGTGACCTGCCTGTTTAAAAGATCCCACGTCTCAAGAAAAGAGATGCCAAAGTGAGGCCAGTGTGTGTGTTTATCGGGAAGAGTACAGAAGAGGCCCCACTGCTCAGTACGAGATGCCTAAGATGAGCAAAATGAGAAGGCTGTGTGACTTATGCTGGATGCCAGTTTACGGATTATCCACTAAAATGTCTAGAGCTAACATCTTCGGGGCTGCTGTTACAGGGGCACGCAAGGCTGCGTCTGCATGTTGGAAAGATTTCCTTTAAAGCGACAGTGGTCCAAACATACGACAGTCAACCATTTAGCCGTCTTCCTTTGGAGGGGTGTACCAGCCTGAAACAGAATGGGAAAAAGTTAAAATACCGTAATGTTTCACCAGCTGGGAGAACTGGCATGTATTCAAGGTAGCCACAGTCATCACAATAAAAATAAACTAGGACTCGGGATGGGAATGCAGCATTTTGCTATATTCACCGTATAAAGTTACTTTCTCTGACTAATCTGCATTTACTTCCAGATAAACCTCATGGAAAATAACTACCCCCTAAACAGAACCCTGGCACTGTGGGTTAAGAGACACTTGTGTGACCGTGAACACCGTCTCACGAACGAGGAAGCCACTGTACAGGGGCAGTGACCAACTCTGCCTGGGATGCCGAAGGTCTGAGTAAGGAGCACCCATCTCGAGCTACTGTCCAGCAGGGCCCCTACTGAGCCTTGGAAAGTGCTAGGACCCAGGTATCATCTCCATCACAGGTACGCAGCTATGCGAGACAGTGTGCACGTTCACAGCTCCATCTACTCACTCCACAATGATATGTAACTCCACAACGCCATGCTCTACGCGATCAATACAATATCCGTCAAGTAAAAAAATTAAAATGTAAAATGATTTAAAACCTCTCTCGATTCTGAATCTAGTGCTCTTGTACCACGGCAAGCTTACACACACCACATGCCTCAAATGTAACCTTTTCCGTAAGCATTTTTTAGTCTGTTAGGATGTCTGCTTGACTGTTTCCCAGACTCAGTGGAAGTCTGAGCTCCACATCGAAAGGCCGGTCAGGCCAAGTCCCGTGGCTGTGCGGCTCCCCCCACCAGCACGAGCACGCCTGGGTGTGTGCAGCGCGTGTGCAGGACCATGAAGCTGTACACAGGGTTCTCTGCACCTACTAAGTTCATGTGCTAGACACGATCACTATTAGGACAAGCCTGGGTTTCCCTCAAATGTTAGCATTTCCCTCTTCAGCATGAAAATTGTGTCTTGAACACTATTTCTAGAAGTAAATATCACTGGAAATCTGCCAAGTTTGCACTGTCATTAAAGCCACACTTTTACCGAAGTAAATAATGCCCGGTGGTGCCCGTGCTCCTAAAGAAAACCCCTTCCTGTTTTCCCTGCCCACAGGGCCCTGTTTCCACCGCCCGCTGCAACGGCCTCTGACAGCACACCTGATTACAAAGAGACGCGCACGCACACTGTGGGCATTACGCCGGTCTCAGAGATGGAGGGGCCGAGGCTCGAAGAGCCATTGCCAACAGCAGTGGCACTTTCTCAGGACTAGAGCTAGCATGGCACCTGAAAATAGGGCTTCTAATTCCAAGTCGAGTTGTGTTTGGTTTTTCAATCTCATTGTTGAAGAAAAACTCAAAACATCTGCATTGAGAATGTAAGCAAAATGTAAAGTGAGACCAATACAATTTATTTAAAAAATTTTTTTAAGAGAGAGATTTTTGCTATAGGGCACATACACTTGCCAGAAAGACAGAAAGCAAGAAATCACCCCCAGAGGGGTGATTCACTGCAATCCTTTCTCTCCCATTCTTCTCTCAGGATTTTGGGCACACACACACAAGCATCCGGCATGGGTTTTAAGCCACTGGGTCTATAAAGAATATTTTAAGAACAATTTAACTTTTAAAAAATTCATAACCTGGCCTGGCCCTGCAGACTAGTGGTTAAGGAAGTTGATCCCCACATGGCTGACTGCATGGTTTGAATCCCAGACCCAGCAGCTGGAAAAATACATTGGATGTGTGCACATGCACGCTCAAAGTCACAAAAGGATGGGGAGTGGAGAGAAAGGGATCGCACACGACCACACCACATTGGGGGATGCTTTATCCCCCCATCTGTAGATCTCTGGCCAGTACATGTGCCTTCTGGCAAATTAAAAAATAAAATAATTTACAACTCAAATATTCCTTAAGTGTACATACAAGTTAGAACTACTCTTGCTTGAATAGATGAATGTGTAAGACTATCAAAGCGGTAAGCGGTCTGCAGATGTTCCAGACGGGGGACCACGATCCTGACTGCACATCCTCAGTTCTAACCATGAGCTCCCCACCTACAGAGCAGCCTGTGGCCCGTTCTCCTCCTGCCACATGGGAAGTGAGTGCACTGCGCCCTACTTTCATCCGCTCACACGTCACAGGTACCCAGGCCAAATGTTGAGGATGCAAAGACTGAGTACGGTACACGTTCGCTTTGTAAGACATTAAGATAAAAACAGAAAAAAAGGTAAATTCTGTAAATCTTCGTTAATGCCAATACTTATTGAAATGAACGTACCATTCTTCTCATGTATCTGTACAATGGAATTATAGGACTGCTGGGCTCTTGCTAGATTATACTGATTCTGAAAGAGAATTACACATTTTAAATCACAACTGTAACTAGCTGAAAATTACAACACATTTACTGATGGATCACAGCTGTGTTTAATGAACACAGGAAACTGAATATCTCCATTTCGAAAACCACTTTCACTTACCCTCATTTCTCAATTTCATATACTCTACAATTGTGCAAGAATAACAAAACCAAAACTGTACTTTCATAGAAATTCATCACCTTCACAGTTCATTCTTCTTTTTAAAGAATTATTTCACTTAACTTTATTTATTTTAATTTGACCAGAGAGGAACAGAGTGAGAGAGAAGAAAAGTAAAAAAGAGAAAGTAAACCGCCAGGTCCAGGACTCAAACCGCAGTCGGCCATGTGGGAGTCCAGTGCCCTTAACCATCACACCACCTACTGACTCCTTCAGTTCACTTTCATACGCCTTCCTACCACTGGACAAGTATAAGCTCTGTGATTCTTCTTCCCATCTCTGTACTGATGGGTCAAGACACTGCTATTTAGATGTGCACAAAACTCTCTTCCTTCTAACTCCCCCCCCCAAAAAAAAAACAAGTTATAAAATAGCACTTTCAAATAAGAAAGCATCAAGCTTCAAGAACTACGCATACGAATGTCATTTTGAGTTAGAAATCTAAAGAACGCCTCAAATTGGCACTGAGCCATTACCCGAAGGAGATTTTTGGTAAACATAGAATCCTTTTTCAGGAGTCAAATTTAGGATTCACTTTGTCACTGCAAGTACAGCTGACCTCCACCTTAACTTGCAGTGAACATATCGCCAGCATTCTCCACTGTGGTCCACACCTATCTATACTGTTATGTCACACAAATGGAGTAAGGAATTCACACAGCACAGGAACGAAAACTTAAAGCACCCTAAGTGGAAAGTCTTTCCTACCTGCCCCTCACCACCCAGCCTTCTCGTCCCTCTTGCTCGACCCAATTTAACTGCTATCGCTACCACTAGTTTCTCCCATGTCCTTTAAGACTGCAAGAAAATCCACATAAAGCCCACTGTTAATAGACACCGTCCCCTGGCTTCCAACAAGTGCAATTGTGCTGCAGACACTGCTCTGCCCCTATTTGGTTTTTTCGGTTTTTTTTTTTTTTTTTTTTTATTATAGGGCGTATGTGCTCACCAGAGAGAGAGACACACAGACAGACAGCAATCACCCCACAGGGGGATGGCCACACCACAATCCCTCCTCATTCATTCTCCTCCTGAGATCTTGGGCATGGACGGACACACACACACACACACAGTGTGAGTTTCAAGCCAGCGGGTCCAGGACTCAAACGGCGGTTGGCCATGTGGGAGTCCAATGGTGTAACCATTACGCCCCTTTTCTTTATGTGTCTTGGAGCTTGTTCTTCATCAGCACAAAGGGAGCTCTGGTTTTCCCCTTAAGACAGTGAAATAGTCTATGGTGTGCATATTCAAAGATTTCCTCAGTCCTTTACTGGCAAACATCGACGTTTTTAAAAAATATTTTGGGGCTATCATGTTCCAATACATGCTTGCAAAGGGCTGGTTAAAGATATCCTGGTACATGGGGCCAGCAGGTGGTGTGGTGATTAAGGTGCTGGACTCCCACATGGCGGACTGTGGTTCAAGTTCCAGACCTGGTGGCTTGCTTTCTCACTTTCTCTCTCTCTCTCTCTGTGTGTGTGTGTGTGTGTGTGTGTGTGTCTGTGTGTGTGTGTGTGTGTGTGTGTGTGTGGTCAAATTAAACAATGATAATAAAAGATTAAATACATAATTAAAATTTCTTTACTATACTGGTATAGTGGTGCTGCCGGGTGAAAAGGCATAGACGCACTTGCGACCTTGAGGTTCGAAGTCGCCTTTTGCGGGCTCTCCAGCATACCTGCCACCACCAGCCGGCGGCTTGGGCAGCTCTGCTGCTGACCACACGGCCAGCCCGTGCAGCTGTGAGCCGCACCTCTCTTACGGAGTGACAGCGAGATCTCCAAATACTCACAAGCCACTTCTTTCTATTTCTGTAAATAGACTTTTTAGATCTTTCTCCCATTTTTCTACAGAGTTTTCCTTTTCAGTTTGACAGCTCTTTAAAATTGTAAAATTCCTGCCATAAAGCATCTAGAAACACGAAAACACGGAGTACGTGCCGCCATATTATTGCAAAGTTAATCAAAAATAGTTTTTCCAGTCAGTCTTTTCATCATCAAGAGACACAGAAACCGACTGTACACAGCAAAACACACGACTGAACTTCCCAACAATCATGAAACGGATACGTCTGACCCTACTGCCGAAGAGGCAGGGAGAACATGTGGGCTTCCCTGTTCCTACCTGTTCGCAGCAGGTTCAAATTCCAGCTCAACAGGAATGTTACTGCAGAGGCTTCACTGCCACAGGGATCGGGGAACAGCCCCTTCAAGTCCACCTCATTTCTCATCCTGCTCTCCTTCGCCTTGTCCTTCCTAACACTGAGCCGGACAGACTCCTTTTCCTTCTTCTCTGAGTGACATACAGATTTGAAAGCAACGCACTTTCTCTGGGCTCTCCTTTCATTCCCGACATATACTGAGTGCATTATTGCTGTCTTCTCGATAGCCCCGTTTTTGTTTAAGAACTATTGAATTTCATTTATTATTATTTTAAAATTTGCTATGGGGCACGTGAGAGACAAAGGAGGTAAGAAAGCAAGCCCACCAAGTTCGGGCCCGAACCTCAGCCGGCCATGTGGGAACCCGGTGCCTTAACCACACCACACCACCTGCTAGACCCAATATTCCAGTTTTAACTGCAAGTCCCAAGATGACCTAAGGGCTGTCTGAGTGAGTTTTCAAATTCCACGAATGAACATTTGTCTTCCTATTTTGTTATTAACTTATCATTTTATTTAATTAGATGACAGAATGACATCTATCCTTCTACTTTTCAGAATTTGAAGTTTTCTTCGTTGAACAGGATGAATTTCATGACTATTACAGAGGAAAAAACAGAAAGAGGAAGAGAAAGGAAGAGAATTTTAAATTTTCATTATGGTTCAAGTCTACATATTTTAAATTTTCATCTAATTTTTTATAAGTTAACTTATTTGATGAGTAAGAGATACAGAGAGGAAGAGAGAGCGACAGCACCTCCAGCAGGGTCCTGCCACCTCGGTTCACCCCTCGCCCCATAAAGTCCTGGGCCGTGGCCACGTGTTTGCGGTGTCATCATCCAGCTCAGCTTTTTTTTTTTTTTTCTTTTGATACCAGGATTTAGAGGTGCGTTTAATTTCCAAATTCATGCAGATTTTTCTCAGCCTCTTCATTATTGTGAGGCATCATTATTTAAATTTCATAATTCGTATGGTACTGGTTGTTTTTTAGATCTGATGTTTTCCATATTTCATATATGCCTGGGGAGGATAAGCAGTATGCTATCTAACACGGGGTACAGGGTTCTATATCTGTCTTGGATGAAGCCTGTTAATTAGTTATTCAAATCTACATCCTGTCATTCTGATTAACTTACTTCAGGAGGCTGTGCTGTGCTCTCTGTGATGGGGATTTGTCAGTTTCTCCCTGTGGTTTTATCTGTCTCTCTCTTCTTTTTTTTTTTTTTTTGAGAGGTTTTTTGCTATAGGGTGCGTGCGCTCGCCAGACAGAGACAAAAAGCGAGAAATCACCCCCCAGGGGGATGGTCACGCCACAATTCCTTCTCTTCCATTCTCCTCTCGGGATCTTGGGCGCATGTTGGGCACGCACACGTGCCCAGCGTGAGTTTTAAGCCACCTGGTCCGGGACGCGAACCGTGGTCGACTACGTGGGAGTCCAGCGACATAGCCATTACGCTAACTGCTGGTCCCAGCCTTTTCTCTTTATTTGGAGGCTATTCGGATAGGTTCATAAAATCCTGCATCCTCCTAGTTAACCAATTCTTGTCTCACTAAGTGGTGAACTGGACTGCTTAGTAGACACGGCAACTCGCTCCCTCTAACCCCAGGAAAACAAAAACAGAAACCAAAACAGATCTCTTGTCTGAATGTAATCACTGACTAGGGGCCCCTGGGGTAGAACCCATGGAGCCCGTGGGCAGCAGGGAGAGACAAGTCCCTGATCACAGGAACAGGTGAGGAGCTGCCCCAGGGGCTGTGCGCTCCAGGCTTCACGATTTAGGTCAATCCCTCCATAACAATGGATGGTTTCTTAGGGCTCAGTCTTGTCTTTTTTACCCTTTTTTAAGAGAGAGATTTTTGCTATGGGGTGTGAACACTTGCTGGAGGGACAGACAGAAAGTGAGCAATGACCCCCCAGGAGGGATGGCCATGCCGCCATCCCTTCTCCATTCTCCTCAGGACTTGGGCATGCACTACCGCGCTGGCGTGAAGCCTCCGTTGACTACGTGGGAGTCCAGTGATGCCACCTGCTGGTCCCAAGCCCAGTCTTGCCTTTAAAGCCCAACTTCCTGCCACAAGCCGCGATCTCAGACCCTGCTCTGGAAGGCTCTCACTCGTGTGGTCCAGAGCTAACACCTACGTGATTTCCTACTTTGTACGGAATCCAGAGGATGAAACTCTTAACACATCACATAGTTTTCACGTTCTAGACTGATGGGTATTTCTATAAATTTATAAGAAGAAGAAAAGGGAGAGATGATGTTGCATTGTAACAATTTACTAAGCAAATGCGCTATCCTGAATGTCTCTGACATGGTGACTGAGCCAAGCACAGAACTCGCTGGTCAGAGGCAGAGACCAACTGCTGGGGTCCATCAGTGCTCTCCACCAAGCCACCAGGTCTGGGACTTGAACCCTGGTTGGCCATCTGGGAATCCAGCACCTTAACTACCACCTACTACTAGTCCCTAATTTTCTTAGACTTCTACGTTCTCTACAGATCACGTTCGTAAAGAGGAGAAAACAAACTAAATGAAATAAATTGTCTCAAAAAGAAGTAAGGTGGGAAGACTCCTCCAAATGGGACATGGCTGTGTCTCGCGGCTCGTGCACCTCTGCACGCGAGTACCTTGTTTGCTCCGAACTGCACTCTGGCTTTGCCTTTCACGAGGGTAGCGTTGATCTGCATGATGACCGATTCTATCGAGTAGGCGCTGCTCCAGCCCTGCGGGAGAGGAAAACACACCCCTAAGCACGGCAAGTCCCGACTCCCACGCAGGAAAGCCAACGTGAAGGACTTCAAAAGTGTGGGAAAACAGAAGTAAAGTACGGGTTTATTCTGGAGCCCATGCCTCCGTTTCTCACGCATTTGCCATGGGCTTTTTGAAGGCCCCTTGGAACAACTCACCAGCAGCCAACCAACGGTAAGCTTGCAGTCACTGCAAAGAGTCAAGTCGTACCATTCCCAGAATGCCCTTCAAGAAATTCGTGCCTTTCGTGTACCACGTGAGCAAGGTGTAACTTTAAATTAGTATCATTTTTTTTTTAACTTTTTTTTGGAGAGGTTTTTTGCTATAGGGCATGTGCATTTGCCAGAAAGACAGAGAGAGACGGAGAGAAAGTGAGAAATCACCCCCCAGAGGGGAGATGGCCATGTTGCAACTCCTTCTCTTCCATTCTCCTCTCGGGATCTTGGGCACACACGCACCTGGCACTTAAGCCACCGGGTCTGGGACTCGAACCGCAGTCGACTACATGGGAGTCCAGCGACAGAGCCATTACGCCAACTGCTGGTCCCAAATGAGTATCACTCTTAATGCTTATCCAAACACCGATTCGGCCACAAGTACAATGTCATTTTACTAGTTTACCTTAAATAACATTTTCGTTACTTTAACTGCTGTTAAAATAAACTAGAAAATGTTTAAATAGGTGCTAGCCCATAAGAACACTTCAACTCAAGATCGGATTTACATAACCCACGTTCTGTTGAAGCTGAAGACTGAATACCATGGACGTAAACAGTCACCTGTTTAGTGAGAAGTTCCATACACAGTGCTCCTCCACCCAGCACGTACCTGTGAAAGGAAAAAAAAAAAAGAAAACAATCACACAATATCCGAGATGTCAGTCTTCCTTAAAATAGATAAATAAAAGCCCGGGGCCTGGCCGTGCGGCAGTGCCCTGCCTGGGCTCCCAGCTGGCCTTTGGATTGGCAATCAAGCACAGGTCCTGATGGGACCCCGGCCTGTGGAGTACAATGTCTTAATAGCACCTGCCACCAGGGCTGGGCCTCATTCTTCTTTCTTGATCAAGTTGTAAAAATATCACTGGTAAGAGGCCGGCAAGGTGGCATGGTGGTTAAGACACTGGACTACCACATGGCTGATAGCAGTTCAAGTCCCGAACCTGGCAGCTTGTACTTTCTCTTTGTCTCTAGGTGTTCACATTTTAAAAAAATAATAATAAATAAAATCAAATAATTCTTTAAAAAACATATTGGTTGCTAAGAAAGTATGCACAGAAACACAGATTAGAAAATAACACACAAAAACAAAAACGTTTGGAATGTAAAACCCTGGGTAATTTTAAGGCTCTAATGTCTTGCGCTAATACAGTCAATTTAAAAAAAAAATAATGGTTCTTGGGGCTGGCAGGTGGTGTGATAGCTGGGGAGCTGGACTCCCACATGGCCAATCGTGGTTCAAATCCCGGACCTAGTGGCTTGCTTTCTTTTTCACTCTCTCTGATCAAATTTTAAAAAGTGATAAAAGGAATAAATAATTCTTTAAAAAAATAATAATGTTTCTTATTAACACTTCCAGATGTTGAAGATGTCAGAAACTAAGTACTTAAATATCCCAGAGAACCAGGGCAGAGGACTCAAGTCTCACTCAATGGCCGAGCGCTCCGTGCACCTGAATTTTCCCCACCGCCGAGCATGTGCTGTCAGACAGCAGCGCCGACTCTGCCCCGTCCACCGGAACGCAGTCTGCACGGTCCTGTGCGGTTAAACTGCATCACGCATTCTGCGGTGAGACCCACACGGTTCTGATCAGGGGCCCTCTGCACCCCTTGGCTTCTCTTTCCAGGTCTGAGGACTCTTCTCTGAACCAACGACACTCAGCTCTCCCTTTTAAAGATCAAGGTTCTCCAACCTTTTAACTCTTTCTCAAATAAAAGTTCATTTCTCCGTTAACGTCGTGTTAAACTTCATTAAACCACCATCAGGGGGATGGCCGTTTCACTGGACAGTGTCATGCTGAGAAGGGTCACGCTAGGAGCCCCACGCAGGCCAATGAGGAGAGTCCACCACAAGTGGCCCTGTCCCCCGGGCGGTGCCCACATCCGTCCCCGGCCTGGTACTCTTCCAAACACCGTATTCCTCACCCACAGAATTTGCCAAGCCCAGTCTACCCGCAGATCTTCCACCCGTGCTGGTCAAAGGCATGCCCGTGGTGCCCAAACCCAGCTACTCCGCAGAGAAGTAAACAGCGCTCAGGACCTGGACTGCAGACCACCGACCCGGGCAGCAGTAACTGTGACCGGGACCCTGCTTGGCACGACAAGGGAGCGGTGCTCGGGCCCACGTCCATGCTGGGGAGTCAAGCAGCCGACTAGGGGGTCATTTCGATCCTGCCTCAGACGAGCTCTGGCATTTCGTTCCTCTCACACCCGTGGCCACCGTGGTAATCAGGCCACGGCCCCCTCAGCCTAGGACAGTCCCAGCACGGCTCTCGACTAGCACCACCCCCCGCCAGGCTCTGTAGCACCACTGCCTCTCTCTCTGGAACATTTTCTCGACCGCTATTCCTCCACATCCAATCCAGTTCAGGAAAGATAAGTTCCTTTTCCGAGGATAACAGTTTATCTACAGGGGGCGGGAGAGGGGACAGACTGGTCACCAACACCTGGTGCTGTGTGAGGTATAACGTCCACACTGCTCCTCATACCCCGTCTACACGGACCTCCTCCGAGTGAGAGCTCAGTGATGGTGCCCTGAGTAGCCCCCGCCTTTCCTGGGACACGACTCCGCACACTGCACCGTGCAGATCGTCTTCCTTCAGCCTCCATCAGCTGACCGAGGCCCACTGGCGTCCTGAGGCCCCATGGATGCCCCCCACTCCGTCTTCCCAGACCACTGGTGCCGGGGTGGTGCTTGCTCCTGTGACCTCGGGGACCTCACACGACATCTGGCCCTCAGTGGAGGTTCGGTCTCCTCTTGCACGCTGCCTTTGGGACGGTGGGAAACACTTCACTAGGAGTCAGAAGAGGTACTGGAGACACCACAAGCTGCCTTTCTCGCATTCTTCATTTCAGTAACGGGGCTACTTACTTCATCGTGGGAAAAGTCAGTGAGAAACTCCGCAGGGGGCCAGGCAGGGGGTGGTGGTTTGGGCTGCTGGATCCCACATGGCCAACTACGCGGTTCGAGTCCTGGCCCCGGCGGCTTGAGGTGCTCGCACATATGTGCCCAGCTCTCAAAAGGAAGGGGGCACGGAAGAGAAGGGATTTCGGTGTGGCCGCGCCCCGCGAAACTGCTTTCTCACTTTCCTTCACTCTTTCTCTCTCTAAGAGTACACGTGCCCTCTAACAAATAAATAGCTAATAAATAAGAGAAACTACGTAACACGGTTTAAAATAAAAACTTCATGAGCTTGTCTCCATGACTTGCCGTAAACAACTTAAGACGATAAACTAAAAATTCTTGGGATTTCTAACAAAATGTGAAAAAACCACGCTAGTCAGCTTCATAGTCAGATTTCACAATGTCCCGATAAAAATGCTTTCACAGATTTATCCTCCATCTACAGATTTTCTCCACGGCATTTACTTGATCTTTTCTGCTCTCTCAGAGAGCACGCGTGCTCACGAGGAGGAGTCAGAGAGAGAAGGCACCTCCGAAGGGAACGGTCATGCCACAATCCTCCACCTCTCCATGCTGTCAGGGCACGGGGCACACACACGCACACACACCCAGCACAGTCGTGGGGTTTTTAAAGAATTATTTTATTTAACTTTATTATTTTAATTTGACCAGAGAGAGGCGGGGGGAGAGAGAGAGGAAGAAAGCAAGCCTCCAGGTCGGGGACTCAAACCACAGTTGTCATTGTGGAAGTCCAGCACCCTTAACCACCACACCACACACACACACACAGTTTTTAAGGGCCAGGGCCAGGATTTAAGCTGCAGTTGGTCATGTGGGATCCAGCTCCCTATGCACAGGGCTTCATTCCTGGGCTCGGGGTTGCCCCCCCCTTTTTTTCTTCCCTCTTTCAGTAAGATTCTAAACAAAAAAATTACCTTTTCCCATACTTACGGGGATACTGACTACACATACAATTTTAAGACCACAAAACTAAAACACAATCACTAGGTTTTTTCTCCCCAGTCAGTAACAGTTTAATGAAAAGGGATATGTTAACATTAAAGTATAAAAACAAGGACTGTCTTGTAAGCAAGGGACACAGGTTAGAATTCTACCCTCTTCAGTCCTGTGCTTATTTTGTGTATGTAAGTATCTGGCTAGGTTCCCTAACACTCAGCGTGCAGACGTGACCACAGGCGGTGTGACAGGGCACCTCTCAGGGCACTTGCCGCCCACCACCGCGGACGGGGCAGGCCTCCGAGTAGCAGGAAACCTGCACGGTTCTAAGCAACTCCGTCTCGCACTCATTACCCCACTCGTTACCCCGAGCCCTCTAGTCGTCACGGCAGTGCCGTTGAGCTCAGTCCCTGCCTGCCGAAAGGAGCCCAGCTTTTCTAAGGAGCTGTAGACACCCCTCAAGGCTATCGGCTGAGGGATTACTTCCTATTTTCTGGCTCTGCAGCAGAAAATGCACGGGAGTCACTTGGAATTCCTATTTTTTAAATTGTTTTGGAGGTATTTTGCTATAGGGTACATGCATGAGACAGAGAGAGACAGAGAAACAGCAAGTGAGAAATCACCACGCCCCTCCTGGGGAGGCCATGCTACAACCCCTTCTCCTGCATTTCCCTCTCAGTATTTTGAGCACGCACATACATGCACCTGCCGTGAGTTTTTTGGGGCTTTTTTTTTTAGATTTTTTTTTTTTTTTTTTTTTTTTTTGTTAAGGGGCGGGTCGGCTCCCCGAAAACCCCCCAGGGGGGTGGCCATGCCACAATCCCTTCTCCTCCATTCTCCTCAGGATCTTGGGCATGCACGCACACGTGCCAACGTGAGTTTAAGCCACCAGGTCCGGGACTCGAACTGCAGTGGACTACATGGGAGTCCAGCGACATAGCCATTATGCTAACCGCTGGTCCCCACCTGGCATGAGTTTTAAGCCCCTGGGTCCAGGACTCGAACCGCAGTTGATCATGTGGGAGTCCAGCGACATAACCATTACATCATCTGTTAGTCTTGTCACAGTAAGTGAGGGACAGACCACTTCTGCAGAAGGCTCTGCTGCCGTTCTTGGAAGCCGCCTCTATTTTCAACCTAAATGTAACTACTACCATCACAACCCCGAAAAAAATGATTCCGATCACCATCATATGGGTTATCTCACAAACCAAAAGTAGAAAACCGAGTGTTTGAAATTCCCCAGTCAGTGTAATTGCTCCTGCTTATGCAGGTCTGCAGAACGAACCTCGGTACCAATTCCGACGTTTCCTCACTCTCCACGAGACTGCTACTCACCAAGAAGCAGAAATATGAACTTCAGTAAAACCGCATGACAATTACCCTTTGATTCTACTCACCGGCAACTAGAATTAGCCAGCCAGCTCGACAGCCCGTGAGAATTCCTGTGAGTACCCTAGACGCACCAATCAGGACTAAGGCGTGCGGAAATCACACTCTCATCGTTCGCTCCTAACCCTCCACGACAATTCACATTTGGAAAACGTGGTTTTGATGAAGGAGTCTATAGAAACAGGACCGCAGACTCTGCGTGCAGCATAATGGCTTACACCGATGGCTCTGAAGGCGGCCCCAGCCACTTTCCCTAGGAGACTGTTAGAGATGTAAATTCTAAGGTCTCACCCCAGATCTTCTGAGTCAGAAACCTTAGAACCAGTATTTAACTAGGTCCTCAGATGGGCTCTCAAAAAATAATAATCACTGGGCCCAGCAGGTAGCATGGTGGTTAAGGCACTGGACTCCCAAATAGTGGACCACAGTTCAAATCCCAGATCGGGCAGCTTGCTTTCTTACTTTCCCTCTCTCTGTCTCTAGTCAAATTTTTAAACTTAATGACTGTGAATAAAATCAAATAATTCTTAAAAAAAAGTAATCATTTAAACTTACTGTCCTGTGAAAACAAAACTTACCCTCCTGAGAGAACAGGTAACACCACTCGAACAAATGGAGGATCGAATGGAAAGTTATCCTGAAAAGCAAATAAGCACGTTTAGTTCCTTGCAAGAACATCTCTAATACCACACTACTTTGAAGATCTTTAAATAGTCTATAAAGAATGCACACATTAATTATCTGATACTAGGCGAGGACCCTAACAGTAGAATTTGTACCAAAAAATAAAATGTAATAAAAAGCCAAGCAAATAAAAATTAAGATTAGGCCCCAAAAGAACAGTAGGCCGGTAAACTTCTGAATATGAGAAAGGCTCCCACTCTCCATAAAACTTCGTAGAGCAATCCCAATAGATCAGTCTTACGGCTGAAAGCCGGAGGAGGTGGATGGTTGTAACAATCACAAAGCCGGGGGTGGGGGACAGAACCCTCGAGAAGGGCCTTTCCCCCCTTGGGGTTTGAGAGGTTAACAAGCTGAGAACGACTCGAAGACCTGGGCCGCCCGAGGAGGTAGGGCAGAGCACAGGGCCACCAAAGAGAGGCGGCCTGGACAGCCCCCCACTGGCCGAGGGGCCCCTGAAAGACAAACTGCAAACCACCCTGACTGACAGAGCACCTTGGTCCCTTTTTGGTCCCTGTCTGGGTGAGGGTCTGGGCTCCTACCTCCTAAGGCCCTGACACGGGCAAACACAAATCCTCTTTGGATCTGAGGCTTCCAATTAATTAGCTCTACGCTTTTCCATATATAACGTCTGTAACTAAAAATAATGAGCCACAGGAGGCTTCGAGACGACAGGCTCAGAAAATAATAGGCACAGACCCACAAGGGACCACAGTGACAACAGATTCACTTTAAACTAACACTTCTGTCCACGCAAGGAAAACAAGACCAGACTGAGACCTGGCAAAGCAGCACGCTGTAGAAGGGGACCACCTGGCAACTCTGAAATTCAGAAGGACAGTAACTGAAATGAACAAACGCAAGACTTTAACCACAGAGGACACTTGGCAGAAGAGAAATAGAGTACTCTGGAAAAGCGGTTCAAACATGTCCAGAATTAATCTAGACAATGGGAAATACGAAAAATAAGAACCAGGGTAATATTGGGTCAATGAGAAAGCCATGATGCATTTCTGTATAGAAAAACAGAAAAATATGTCCTGACTTTCCTGACAACCTAACACAATTAAAAGACTTATCACACACCGTGGAGTCCTGGGAGAAGAAAGAACGGAGCAGAAGCAATATGTGGAGAGATGGTAGCTAACGATTTTCCAAAATCGACCAGAGACATCACCAACCTAGACATTGGTGTTCAATGAGAATGCTCTTCAAGGGACCCCCAGATGGCTAAATGGTTACATCACTGGACTCTCACATAGTCTACTGAGGTTCGAGTCCCAGACCCGGTGGCTTAAACTGACGCCAGGCACGTGTGTGTGCGTGCCCACGATCCTGAGAGGAGAATTGAGGAGAAGGGATTGTGGCATGGCCATCCCCTGCGAGGTGATTTCTTGCTTTCTGTCTCTCTGGCAAGCCCAAGCACCCTACAGCAAAAATCTCTCTCTCAAAAAAAAGAAAATGTTGGGTCAGCAGTTAGTGTAATGGCTATGTTGCTGGACTCCCATGTAGTCGAGTCCCAGACCCGGTAGCAGAAAAATATGTCCTGACTTTCCTGACAACCTAACACAATTAAAAGACTTATCACACACCGTGGAGTCCTGGGAGAAGAAAGAACGGAGCAGAAGCAATATGTGGAGAGATGGTAGCTAACGATTTTCCAAAATCGACCAGAGACATCACCAACCTAGACATTGGTGTTCAATGAGAATGCTCTTCAAGGGACCCCCAGATGGCTAAATGGTTACATCACTGGACTCTCACATAGTCTACTGAGGTTCGAGTCCCAGACCCGGTGGCTTAAACTGACGCCAGGCACGTGTGTGTGCGTGCCCACGATCCTGAGAGGAGAATTGAGGAGAAGGGATTGTGGCATGGCCATCCCCTGCGAGGTGATTTCTTGCTTTCTGTCTCTCTGGCAAGCCCAAGCACCCTACAGCAAAAATCTCTCTCTCAAAAAAAAGAAAATGTTGGGTCAGCAGTTAGTGTAATGGCTATGTTGCTGGACTCCCATGTAGTCGAGTCCCAGACCCGGTAGCTTAAACTCACGCCGGGCACATTTGCGTGCGTGGCCAAGATCCCGAGAGAAGAATGTAGGAGAAGGGATTGTGGCATGGCCATCCCCTGTGAGGTGATTTCTTGCTTTCTGTCTGTCTTTCTCTCTGGCAAGCGTAAGCACCCTACAGCAAAAATATCTCTCTCTCTCTCAAAAAAAAAAAAAAAAAAGAAAGAAAGAAAAAGAAAATGTTGGGACCAGCAGTTAACCTAGAGGCTATGTCACTGGACTCCCATGTAGTTGACCGTGGTTCGAGTCCCAGCCCTGGTGGCTTAGACTCACGGGTGTGTGTGCGTGCATGCCCAAGATCCTGAGAGGAGAATGGAGGAGAAGGGATTGCAGTGTGGCCATCCCCCCTGGGGGGTGATTTCTCGCTTTCTGTCTGTCTCTCTCTGTCTTTCTGGCAAGCGCACACTTCCTATAGCAAAAACCTCTCCAAGAAAAAGAGAAAAAAGGAAAATGTTCTCAAAATGAAATACGGATAAAGGTGTTTTTGTATTTGCAGATCTGTATTAAAGAAAACACTAGGGGCTATTTTAAACAGGAGAAAGATGACTCAGGTGGACACCTGGAGAACGAAGAGCAAGAGCAGAACACGCGATGCTCGTGAGTACGACCGACAGCAGTGAGGCGCACGGTTTAGGGAAACGGAGAACTAAACACGTCACACTTCTGGCAGGGAGTACACGGACCCAAGGTGTTCCAAGGTCTTTGCATTATCGAGGAAAACGACATACAGAAACGAACACAATTACGTTAAGACTCTGACGAGTCAGCAAGGTACACTGGAGCTGTAACGCAGTAGGGAAGAGGAGGTAAATGAGGGACTGTCAAGCTAACCGAGGTGGGAAACTGCAGCGATAAAGCAAATCCAGGCTGGCCTCTAAGTTGGTGGTTAAGGGAGCCAGATTTCACATGGCTGACCACCTTCTGACTCCCACCCCCAGCAGCTTGAAAACAAAAACAACAACACACCGGAGGGGCCAGAAGGTGGCAGTGACTAAGGCGGCTGGATTCCACATAGCTGACTGCAGTTCAAATCTGGACTCAGAGACTTGAAAAACATGCCAGGCGCTGTGTGTGTGGGTGCCCAAAGTCCTGAGAGGAGGATGGAGGAGAAGTGGCTACTGTGTGGCCATCGCCTCCTGGGAGTAGACCGATCAATCGATCTCTCTCTCTCTCTCTCTCCCCCTGGCGAGCACAGGGGCCCTGTAGTAAAACTAAAAAACAAAAATAAAACACCACACCAGACGCATGCTCAGAAGGATGGAGAAGTGGAGGAGGAGGAGAGGGGATTATGGCGGGACCACCTCCCGCTGCTTTCTCCATCTCCGTCTCTCTGTGACGAGCTCACATGCCCTCTGGCAATTAAAATAATGGCCCCAAGGAGAAACAGGACCAGGAAGTAAGGCGGACAGATACACATCACCCGTAAGCGTGGACTGAACCTGAAAACCAGCGGTAACGATAAATGCAACGGACCAGCTGCTCCGATGAGAAGACCACGGTCGGCAGACTTGATAAAAGGCTGACGCGTGAAAGGAGGAAGATGGGACTGAAGAGGGAGAGCACGCCTCATCCGATTCTCAGACTGCCGAGCACAGTTCTCTTTTCCAAATGCTCAGTTCCCAGAAACTGGAGTGTCCGGAAGCACACGAGATTTGGAAGCAGAAGTGCCCCAGAGTGTCGGAGGTCAGCTCCTTGCCTGCCAAGAGGCCAGGAAACACCCCTCACTCTCCTGAGCAGGTGGGTAGGGAAGCGGCCTAGCACCTCGACTGCAGAGGTGTCAGGACGTCGAAGGAATGCCTTCTGATTTCTGTGTTCAAACTGGACGGGATTAAGGGGATTACTCATGCCTTTTTAAAAAGCAATTGGAGGGTAAGGGCCTAAAAAAAGAAAAAAGTGTTTCATCCAGTAATTTCCAAGGACCACGAAAACAGAGAAGAATACGCAGCATCATGTTGGTAACTTAACTGATGCCCTCCCCCGCCTACACTCCACCGAGGCTCTGAGGAACACGCGATTATGAAAATGCAATCCTGCAAGCAGAGGAAGAGAAAGCACACTTCTAATAATAATCGAGATTCTCTTAAATTTCTACTGCAGGTTAAAACAAAGACATCGACTTAGTGACAGTTATAACGCGCATCTCGGCAAGCTGCTCACCTGTTATCCAGAAGGTAACAGACATAATCAAAGCCTCGGATGCGAGGCCTGGCAGAACTAGCCTCATGTAACCGCCTGTTCAGATCTTTAAGGGTGCGATCCCAGGCGAGTGACTGGGAAACCTTTTAACTGGTCACGTTGCTCAGAACGATTCTTCTACGTAAAAACCTGAGGACCCCAACTCACAAACTCTGACCCTGCCACTCAGCAATCGACATTCCACAGAAACAAAGAGATCTCTTAGGAGAAAGGAGAGGTTGAGGATGACTAGTAAGACGGCAGTTTGAGTTGCTTCAGTCAGCAGACCAACTCAGAAACGGAACCTCGGGCTTGGCAAAGACCTCCTGAAGTGACGTGATTTCCGACTTATCTCGGCTTCCAAGGCAATTCTTAAAAACGAGGAGTATTCTAATTTTGAAAGACTACATCACCAGATGGCTCTAAATAGTCACTTCCATATCTTCCGCTGAAATCCACCTCGCTGTGACGTGACTTGGGTCTGGCTCGATGCCCTGTGTTCATCCAAAACAAGTAAAGAAACGAACGCTTCCACATGGACCGTCTCTGGGACAGTGGGAGACGAGCGAGCGTGGCCTCCAAGCTCTCCTCTCCAGACCCAAGGTCAGCCGACCATCTCAGGACAAGAACAGGGTCTCCTCTCCATCCTGGCTACTCTACTCAAGGGGCCGACGTTTGTCTAAATGAACCCTCTTCTACTACCACCTCGGAATTCTATTTGGTAATTCCAGCGTGGCCTGAGAAGTGTTAGAACCGCTTCCTTATAAGCACGGCCCAGTCCCCTGACCGCGCCGCAGCCAGGCACCCGCTCCCGCCCCACGTCCCCGCTCAGCGTCACGTTCCATGTCACGGTCATGCTTACTCTCCGTGACTCTCAAGTGGTCACTGTGGACACCTGAGGCCATAAGTACACATTGTCCTGGCTCTTTGCTGTGGAGGTTTCTTCCTGAATCGTACCTGCTATCCTCCCAGTAAAATAACGTGGCCACTCGGTTTAAGGCCCTCTACATGAGGTCAGTTACATCGGGGCACTCACAACCCTCCCAGGTCTCTTAAATACTCCAACTCGGGGCTGGCAGATGGCATAGTGGCTAAGGTGACAGACTCCCACGTGGCTGATAGCAGTTCAAGTCCCAGACTCAGCAGCCTGAAACTCATGCCGGGCATGTGAACGTGCTTGTCCAAACTCCCGAGAGGAGAATGGAGGAGAAGGGATTATCCCCTGGGGGGTGATTTCTCATTTTCTCTGTCTCTGCCAAGCTCAAGCACCCTATGGCAAAAATCTCTCCTTAAAAAAAAAAAAAAAAAAAAAAAAAAAAAAAAAAAAGAAGAAGAAAGAATAAAGGATAAAAAGAAGAAATACTCCAACCCTAGAAAAGATCCTTCTTTCCAGTATCAGGAGCCATGGTACAGAAACAAATCGAATAGAATTTCAGCTATTTACTTCCCAGACCGCCCCTCCCTGAAGTCCCACCTACAGCAGGAAAATGCAATGCCAACACCTGCAGTCCCAAGCCCTCCAGTCTCCTGGCCAAGATCTCCTATCCCCTTAAATATACTTCCCAAGGAGTGAGTAAGACAGGAGGGACACACAGGGCCTCAGCAGGTACCGGTAATGTTCTATGCCTTACGCCTGGGTTGGGCACGCAAGACATGATTTAGTATCACGTGTTCAGGTTCAAAGAATTACCCACGCATTTTTTTTTTAAAGATGCCTTTCTACGTTTTCTGGGGTTTGTTTTTCAGTGTTCCTTGGTTTTTACTTTCATCCTGCCACAGGAACCATTAAAAACGCAGTCATTAGCAACGTCAGTAAACATACCAGAATCACCTCCTAGGAAGACAACACACTTGACGACTGCAAGTTTCTACAATAACAAAACAAGGGGAAATACGGACATTTGGGCTATATCAAAAACCTTCAACCCCAAGACGAACACCCAAATAAGAACACAGACGCAAGCGCCCGGTAGGAACCCTTCGGAACGTATCCATGCTTCTTCTGCACGTCTACACGAGCAGTTCCTATCTGCTTGCCCCTTTCAAAACATTTCAGACCCGTGCACTGTCTCCTATCCCTTCCACCACCCTCGATGCGCTTCGCCGGTCCTCGCTCAGACGAACGTGAAAGGCCCAGTAATCCCTCCAAACCTGCTGTATCCTACCCACGCCCTGCTGAGCTGAGGGCAGGGTGGCTGTTTCAGCAGATGCTCTAGAACGAAACACATCAACCGGGCCCCTGCAGGAAACCTGTAAAGGGCTCTTCACTACAGAAAGGTAAGATGCCAGAAAGCCCCTTTACCGCTGCACCAGCTTCACTCCAGGACGACCACAGGCTCTTGAAGAGCAGGGTAAACTACGTTCTAGAGACCCCTCTCCTCCAGCCATCGACACTGAAGTCCACCTAACTAAAATCGGGAAAGATTATACGCACATCACGTACGTATCTCCTCTCGATTTAAAGAGCTAGGTCCGTATCATTCAAATAGATCTCCTCAGAAACACTTTCCAGATTATTTGTTTAATGACTCAGTGCCTTTTTTTTTTTTTTTTTTTTAATTTCCCAGACGATGCATGTACATGTCAGAGTGAGAGATGCAGGAGCATGGTCATACCATAATCCCTTCTCCTCCATTTCTCCCCCTTTGGGGACTTGGAGCCCAAATCCACACACATGCTTGTGTGAGTTTCAAGCCACCAAGGCGGGGACACAAACCACTCAGTGGGTAACATGGGATCCAGCTGATCTAACCACCAGGCCACAGGGAACTACGTGACCCTCTATGTATACTAAAGATTTTACGCCATTACATTTAATCCCACCTTCGTCTTAAATCATTAACGTGTTAGCTGAATTCCACTGCTATTCTTTCACTCACCTTTACTTTAAACATGCTTTAAAAAACTTTATTATCGATAAATGTAGCACAGAAATTCAGAAAAGCACATCAACAATGGAGGTTTACCTTCAGGAGTCACTGCCACGCCTGTGCCCGAGTACCCACGACTGTGGTCACGAAATGGACCACGCCAGTATCCACGCAGCCCGCGGACGCCCCCTTCAGCTCACAGCTCTCACTCCTGCCTGGGCTCCGTGCCCTACACGGGGTGGTAATTACAGCCTTGCTTCCACAGCTTCACCGCCCAAGTGCGAACCCATGAATCGATGTTTCTCCGTCTTTTTATTTTTGTTTCCCCAAGAAGCTTTTGCAGAAAAATTTTTCTAATCCTGCCTCTTCCCCCCCCACGAAACGTTAACATTGCAATATACTAGACATTGCTTCATGGTCTGTGGCCCTTTGGAGGGCTGTTTCAAGCCTGTGTCACTGTGAGGATCAATTTTCCCCATTGGGGTTGACATTGTTTCCACTTTGAATGCCTGTGCTAAAGAACATTAGTGTAGCCTAATTCTGAATGCTATATAAATGGGATTAAAAAGCGGATTTGGGGTCTGGTCTCTCTGGCTCAGTCCTGTGTGCAAGACCCCAGGATCCGTCCTGCTGCACACAGCTCTCTTCCATCTCATGAATCCCACGAGCCTCCCCGCCGTGGGACCGAACACCCTGTGTCCAGGCGTATCATGGACAACGTTGCCCTGACCGCTCTTGCCAACGTCCCCGGGTCCGCCTGAGGACCCAGTTCTTGCCCACGAGAATTCCAGAACTCCAGGGTACCAGTACCTCAGTTTCACCAAATTAACACCGTCTTCCAAAGCAGTTGTTCAAAGACACGCTCGTATTGGAAAGCATACGGGGGCCCATTACATTTTCTTACCTTAAAAGAGAAGTTAAGCAAAATATATTCTATGCCTTCTTTTTCTTTTAAGATCTGAAGATCGCTGTGCAGAGGACTATCAGGGTCGACCCTAAGAATTAAAAACAAACAAAAAAAAATGTAAACCAAAAACTTAAGAGATTTTTTTTTTTTTTTTTAATTTTTTAATTAAACTCACAAATGAATCAGTCCAAGAGCTAAAGCAGAGCCCTCGGGTAAGAGAAGGCCTAAAGCCGCCAAAAGCCCCAGGAGAAAGCTCACCATGACTGTCTCCAGCTCCCCAGGGAGAACACCCAAAGGATCCCAGTGCTCTACGGCACTGCTAATAAGGAGACCCGAGGTTGGCAATCGTGCTAAAGGCACACAGTCATACCCACGTGGTTTTTCACAAGAACGCTGGAAAATATCAGCATGCTTTCCTAAAGGTACTTTATTAAAAGGGTTCAAGGCGAGCGATGGGTCATGGGCGAGCCTGGCCGTGGACTCACCAGCAAGATCCAAACCTGCCTACAACTGCTCTCCACATACAGGCCCGACTCAGACCCAAGAATACATACTGTTGGGTTGCTGGAAAAGTCTTGACATATCTTTTCTAGGGCATTTCTTCTAGGCTTTTCTATGCGAAACTGCATCATGACTTTTCTGACAACCCGGTATTATTGCAGCCAGTCTCATCGAGGTATCCAGTACACGTTTGTCCCTGACGCCCATTACCTCGCTAACTCCACGAAGCGCATGATCCCACAGCGGGTCCCCCTCTGCTCCTTCCTCCTTCCCACTTTACTTACACCTTAGAAACAGCTCATTTTAACAATCTAAGAATTACTTCTGTAGAACAAGGCCTGATGTTCAGCAAAAGCCACAATATAAAGGTATCGCATTGGAAGGAAACCCCTCCACCATAACAGTCCTCCACGGTGAAGAGCAGGTAAGCACAGAAGGGCCACTTACTTCTGGAGTTTAACATGCCAGTCATATAAGCTGTCGTTTATGAGCTCCACTGAGTAAATCCCTGTGAAGACATAGGGCGGGTTACTCTTCCTTTGTTCATGTATCGCTCTGCGGTAAATGCACACACTAAGTAGCAAACCGAAGCTAGAAACCTTTGCCATTAAAATATGGAACTAAAGGTTGGGGCCAGTAGGTGGCGTGGTGGTTAAGGTGCTGGACTCCCACATGGTAGAACACAGTTCAAGTCTCACACCCGGCAGCTTGACAATCCCACATGTACATGAGGGCCCCAAATCCCAAGACAAAAATGGAAGAGAACGGATTGCAGAATAATCATCCTCCCTGGGGGCGGGGGATGCTTCGAGCTTTCCCTCGCTCTCCTCCTTTCTGGTGAGTGCACACACCTTATAGCAAATTTAAAAAAAAAGGGGGGAGTGTGATTTCATTGTTTAAACAGGGAGCGAGGGGTCATAGAAATCAACTTAGCCATAGTTCCCTGTCTGCGCATTTGCTTTCCAAAGCCACATTACTCTGAGTTTGCCAGGAGAGAAACGTCGCTTAGGAGGATCCAAAGCCACGGCAGAGTGGTAACACAACACCCAACGCTGCACCCACACGGGGAGACCTGAGTTTATGCCCCGAGGTCTCCCTGCACATGCTGGGAGCGGGGCCGCAGTGTCAGAACTCTGCCGGAGAACCTGTCTCTCTGTCTCTCTCTCTCCTGGAGAAAATAACTTTAAAAAGCAGACAGGGGCCAGCAGGTGGGGCAGTGGTGAAGGCACTGAATTCTGTCTGTCTGTCTGTCTGTCTCTCTCTGGCTCTCTCTCTCTGGCTCTCTCTCTCTGGCTCTCTCTCTCTGGCTCTCTCTCTCTGGCTGGCTGTCTGTCTGTCTGTCTATCTGTCTCTGGTGCACGCACGTGTCCTGTAGCAAACTGGAAAATCACGATAATAAAAAAATAAATACTTACTTGAGAAAACAAAGAAACAAAACCAATGCAAGCCTGAACTTGAGTTTCACATCCCCCAAATGAAGAGAGGAAACACTCTGCCCGGTTACGCGAAGTGACGCTTATCACCTGCAGAGACAGCAGAGATCCAGGGGCCTCACCTGTTTTGTAACTCTGTGATCGGTATATGTCCCTGAGTTCTTTCATCAGCCTGTCTGAGGCTTGCACTGACCCAGCCACCGCACCCTGAAACATAAAACTCGCAGTTTACCAGGGTCTACCGAGCCAAGGAATTACAGATTTAATATGCAAGAACCTGCCAAGTTTATGATGAGACTAAAGATGGGTCACTACTCAACATGCTGAGAAGTCTGAAAAGTTCAATGAAATAAAGGAATACCATGTTTCAAGAGGGTTATAAAACAGGCAGCGAGTCTAGTTCTCTTACTGCTCATTATTATCTGAAGAGAGAAGTGTAGCTGCCACGTCTAGACGACAGGCCCTGTGACAGCAAGAACTCGCTGTAAGTCTGCGCCAAACCCCGTCGGCTCTGGGGACTACCACCAGGCCCTCACCATGACACCACGTTTGGCGACAATTCAACAGAGTGCCAGTCACGAGGCTGCATGACAGTTACACTGCAGGTCTGAAGTTCTAGTTCAGGGATCATGAAACTGAGAGACAACACGTCTGCCTGCATGCAGCTTTTCAGTGCTGGGACGGCTGTGGCGATGAAAATGCCCCAGTATTTTATTCTAAGACGGAATATGGATGGAACTACGTTTTGAGCCTGTGAAATCTTGATCGTGCAAAACTAAAGATTTTAAAGGCCGCACCACACTTTGAAGTGGGGGGAAATAAGTTTACAGAGATATTAGTTCCTCCGTGACCTTGAACCAACTTAAATCTCAATGTTCACCTCTATAAATGATTTCATCTATGGCCGGGAAGCGAGGTCCCCAGGGCTTTAGCATAATGCCCGTCGTGTCAACGTGTGCAGAACTTAGAGCTGCTTCCTCTGTAACTCTCACAGACTGGAGTCAATCACAAGACACGGAGGACCATACAGTACCAACTCAGATGCCCCCAACTTTTCGTCATCAAAATACGGGCCCGGCTAAACTTCTTTAGTAAGAAAATGATTTGCTGAGGCCGGCAGGTGGCGTGATGGTTATTCGCTGGACTCGCTCGTGGTCAACCACGGACCTGGCGACTTGAAACATGCCCGGTCTCATGTGCACGTGCCCGAAAGCCTGAGAGGAGAGTGGAGGAGAAAGGACTGCGGCATGGCTACCCCCTCTGGGGGATGATTTCTGGTTTTCTGTCTCTCTGTCTCTCCAGTGAGCATATATACCCTATAGCAAAATTTTCTCTTAAAAAAAAAAAAAAAAAAAAAAAAAAACATGCCCGTCGTGTCAACGTGTGCAGAACTTAGAGCTGCTTCCTCTGTAACTCTCACAGACTGGAGTCAATCACAAGACACGGAGGACCATACAGTACCAACTCAGATGCCCCCAACTTTTCGTCATCAAAATACGGGCCCGGCTAAACTTCTTTAGTAAGAAAATGATTTGCTGAGGCCGGCAGGTGGCGTGATGGTTATTCGCTGGACTCGCTCGTGGTCAACCACGGACCTGGCGACTTGAAACATGCCCGGTCTCATGTGCACGTGCCCGAAAGCCTGAGAGGAGAGTGGAGGAGAAAGGACTGCGGCATGGCTACCCCCTCTGGGGGATGATTTCTGGTTTTCTGTCTCTCTGTCTCTCCAGTGAGCATATATACCCTATAGCAAAATTTTCTCTTAAAAAAAAAAAAAAAAAAAAAAAGAACTGCCAATTAAGTCATTAGGTTGTCTGGAAAGTTGTGACTTTTTTTTTTTTTAAATGTTTTTCTATGCAAAAATGAGTCATGACTTTCCCGATCACCTAATAAGATACGAAGACACTGAAGGAGGGAGAGTAACCTGCCCGCTTACAACACATGGCATCCACTGGGGTAAAAACCCATTCGCTGTGCTTGAGGCCCTGTGTCCTAGACAGGGCAAACGGCCCTCAGATGGCGTTGCGAAATGGCTCTCAGTGCTCAGACCGACAGCCGCACTGCCACTGGACGTCCCCGCCCTCTCTGGGCATCTGGTCTACACATGCCATCCCCGTTTCTTTTTCACGCCAATCATCCAAAGGGGAAGTACTGGGTCGTCGGAAAAGTCATGACACATGTCTGCAGAGAAAAACACATTGCAACTTCTCAAATGACCCAGTATCATCTCTTCACTTCCCAGAGCCGAGGAAACTGAAGCCACACCGGTGCGTTTTTCACCAAAGTTCCTGTCACACTCCTGTGCTGCTTCACAGAAAAGATGTTAAGTCAAAAAGAGAAATTCCTTTTGGCTTTCGGGGCAGGGAGGACCACAGGTGAGTGTGCTGGAGAAGGACCGGGTCCTGGATCTGAACGCACGGCTTCCACGGGAGCAGCAGCAGAGGAGACACCAACAGGATATTAAAGGGGCACCCTAAGGCACCAGCAGGCGGTTCCAGGACGCGAAGGGCATGTCAACGGGGCAGAAAGTGACCAAGTGACAATCAACCGGGGCCACAACACACTGCACCCAGCACTGTGGCCAGGCAGCAGGAGGAGGCAGCTGCCGGAAGCCCAGTGAGCCGGGGGCGTTACCTGCGACAGCGTAACCACAACGCCCAGACTCCGACCTGTGGGCACGCTTACATTTAGGTGGTCTTGCCTTTGCGTCTTCCGAATTTTCTCCAATATCGCCAAATTTTCTTTTTCAATTCCTTCATCCTCTGACTTCTTCCCACTGATAGGCTCTTCTTCCTTCATTTCGTAGTGATCCAAGTCTTCTATATCCTGCAAAAAGGAGGAGGTACTAGCGTGTTCCAGTACGCTTCTTATGCCCACATTTAAGGTATCCTTGACTCCGCATGAATAGGAGAGAGATGTGTATTCTACCAGGGAGGGGGACGCCTCCACCTTAAATTCTAACGTCCCCTCCTTTTATATCCTAAATACTGTTTAAAAGCCAGGCTCAGAGTAAAACAGATCTATGAGCTTCACAAAGTCAGAATTATGACCAAGTAAGTCATCTTTTAAATCTCCTAGCAATAAGAACTTTTAAAACAGTTTAACAGCAGATATCAAGAACTTCATTAATTATTCACATTTGTTCCCCAGAAACTCGACTTCCAGAATTCTACTCTGAGAAACGAGTCCTACATAGGAACATTTGAAGGCATAAAGATGCTTACTTTGGCCTTAGAAGCACAAAAATAAACAAAATTCCCACGTGCAACACCAGCAGACAATGTCAGGCTAGTGGCGTGGTGGTTAGAGATGCTGGATCCCACATGAATGACTATGAGGTTCGCGTCCCAGACCCAACAACTTGGAAAATATGCCAGGCAGGGGCCGGCAGGTGGTACGGTGGTTAGAGTATCCGACTCCCACATGGCTGACTGCAGCTCAAGTCCCAGACCTGGTGGACTGCCTTCTCACTTTCCCTTTCTCTCTCTGGTCAAATTTTAAAATAACAACAAATAAAATTAAGTAAATAATTATTTTAAAACACCACCACCCCCCAGGCACATGTGGATACATGCCCAAAATCCTGAAAGGAGAGAAGGGGCTACGGTGTGGGCATCCCTTCTGGGGGTGCTCTCTCACTTTCTCTCCTCCTCTCTGTCCCTCTCCAGTGAGCCTGTGTGCCCCACAGCACATAAACAAACAAAAAAAGACTCAATGTGACACAGAAAGAGGCATGTCTGTCTCTAATCCAAGGTTCCTAACCATCTGCCTTCCATAGCCAATCTTGCTCTGCACGACTCAAACACACCAACCTTCCTCTCCCGAAACAAGAGCATCTGGTGCTCAAGACTCCTCTGGGCCTTTTCATCGTAGTGCCCCAGAAAATCTTTTTACCTACTCTGACACCTCCCAAGCCCAGTCTCCTGCATCTCTAGATTTCCAAAAATGTTGCTACCCCTTAGTGATCTGCGAGGGTAAAAGGAAAGGAGCACAACTCTGAGAACGGCGTCCGCCTCGCTGGGCCCCGGGCCCATGGGGAAGGCCGAACGTTCCCATGCAGTTAACTCTTCTATAGCAAATTGCAGGAAAACATTACAGCTCTTTACCACCTCTCAAAGTCCTTCTAACTAAAGAATTTTAAGAATTATTTTACTGCCAGACTCACAACACAAAGCGAGCCTACAGCTACCTTCTATGTGCGGAGGCTTTCTGAAAGCGCATCTTAAAATCCCAAATCAGGAAAACAAGGTAAAAGCCTGAAATCAATTCTAACATCCAAAACAGGGAAAAATGAATCAAGACCATGGAACTCATACACCTTCTCTCTGGCCAACACAGAGACGTCGGCCTTCGGTCTGCAAAGCTTCGGTCTAAAAAGCTCTCAAATCACATCAGTGACTGAAAACTGACAGGCCTAAACTCAACGCCTTTGGAACCGGCCCTCCTAAACTTACTCTGGTTTAACTGTGTCCCCTCTAAAATTCAGATATTGCCAATGCAATGGTATTAAGAAGTGGAGTCCCTAAGAGGTGACTGGACCCTGAAGGTTTCTTCCTGGTTAACGGGATTAAGGCCCTTATCAAAGAAGCTTCCCCGAGTGAGCCGAGCGTTTGACTGGTTTGCTCTCCCGCCCGCCACCTCCTGCCACGGGCTGACTAACAAGAAAGCCCTCACCAGACAACCAATGCTGTCATCTGGACTGAACTCGCCCGTCTCTAGAACTGTGAGGAGCCAGTGTCTGCCATTATAAATGACCCAGTCTTAGCATTCTGTAATAGCAGCACAGAGCAGGCTGCAGCAAAATTCTTAGATGATCACTCAAGAAGAGTTGTACACTTCTACCAAGCAGTCCCTGAAATGTTCTCAAACTTTTCTTATGACAACACAGAAGCTTTTTTAACTTAGTAGTTCCTCTTCCTAAAAAGAACCACACACACACAAAAAGTAAAATAACAAAATACATGTTAAACGTTGACTATTAAATATAATTTTAGTGCTAAATTTTCAGAGCTCCTTTTTTCCAGGAAATCAAATCCAAGGAATTCAGATAAAACAGCTTGCTCAAAGACTGAGCATGAGAGGTAAAACCAGAGTTTAGAAATTATATTCTCAGACCAGCAGGTGGCATGGTAGTTAAAGGTACTGGACTCTCACACGGACAACTATGGTTCGAGTCCTAGACCAAGTGGCTTGAAAATCATGCTAGGTATGCATATGTGTGTGCCAAAATCCCAGGAGGAGAGCAGAAGAGAAGGGGTTGGGGCATAGCCATCCCCTCTAGGGGAGTGATTTCTCACTTTCCCTCTCACTGTCTTTCTCTCTGGAGACACTCAACCTATGGCAAAAACAAAAACCAACAAAAATTGTATTTCAATCCAAATATAACATGCTTTTCATTATTCCACATTAACACTACTTTATAAAGGAGCTTCAAAGGTTACTAATGTGTTCAAAAGTGGTATTTGTAAAACGTCACTCTTATATAAGATACATACTTCAGCCATCTCTTCCTCCTCCTCCTCTTCTGAGGTCACTTCCTCTGTCGTCCCATTCTGAAACGCAGAAAGAACGTGCCAGGGCTGAGCAGAACCACCATGCTGAGCGTGCTGGTGCCCACAGCTGTCAGGACACCCGGTCCGTCACCTGTCACTGCAGATGGTCCCACGCACGCACAGCTTATTACAACTAAAGCACTTGTTTCAAAATCCGACTTCCATTCGACACACATCTGCTAGCTTTTTCAAAAGAAGCAATGTTGAACGATTCGAATTAATGGACGTCTTAGGGATGGACAAAGGCAAACAGTCAGACATAAGGCAAAATTGATAAAATTTTCAAAGTATCTGCTTTAACACAAGAAAACATCTTTCTACTATGGTCATGTATGTTAAGATCAATGGCTTATTCTACTTAAAATAAATACCCTAAACTATTGATTCCTTACATTATATACCTTTTGAACTCTAAAAAATCCTACATCTTGACATAAATTTAACCGCCTTAGATTTAAAAAGATTGGATGTGCTGTAAGGGAACAGACACTTAACAAATCTAAAAAGTAAAATAAAGACCACTTCGCTGAAGAGTTTTTTTTTTTAATAAAACTTATTTATTTGTTATTATTTATTTTTAATTTGACCAGAGAGAGAGAGAAAGGGTGAGAAAGCAAACCACCAGGTCCAGGACTTGAACCACGGTTGGCCATGTGGCAGACCAGCATCACAACCACCATGCCACTTGCTGGCCTTAAAGAGAGGATTAAAAAAAAAAAACAAACAAACAAAAAAACATGTTATTTACCAGAGAATCCTCTGTACAAGGCCAAATTTATCAGTCGCTCACAAATGAGTCTGATGGGGTTTTAAGGAAGGGCCTTCATACCCAATTTTGGCAAAATTCAAAAAGACAACGTTTCCTGGGGCAGAGAGACACAGCTCTCCAGGAGGAAGTTTCTAAATGAATCTTGAACCATAAAGGTTGGCTTAGGATAAGACCTAGGATACTTAAAAGATCGAGAACGAGGATCCGGAAAGCAAATCAGAACCAGCAACATTTCCAGAAGTATCTAAGCACCTGCCCTTGGCTACTTTGATCACAGGATTCTTTTTTCTTTTTCTTTTCTTTTTTTTTTTTTTTAGAGGTTTTTGCTATAGGGCGCGTGCGCTCACCAGACAGACAGAGAGAGACAGAGACAGAAAGCGAGAAATCACCCCCTAGAAGGGATGGTCATGCCGCAATCCCTTCTCCTCCATTCTCTTCTTGGGATCCTGGGCACGCACGCACACGCGCCGGCGTGAGTTTTAAGCCACCGGGTCCGGGACACGAACTGCGGTCGACTACGTGGAGTCCAGCGACATAGCCATCACACTAACTGCTGGTCCCAGAATTCTTTTTTCTTAAAAAAATGATTTAATTTTATTTATTATTATTTTTATTTGACAGAGGGAGAGAGAGACAGAGAGAGACAGGAAGAATGCAAGTCACTAGGTCTGGGACTCAAACCATGGTTGGCCACGTGGAAGTCCAGCGCCTTAACCACCACGCCACCTGCTGGCCGCAATGCATAATTCTTAAGAAAGCCGTTATCAGAGTGTGCGTCTTCTGGACTGTGGCGCTGGAGAATGCCATGTGGGCACACATAGCCACTCATACAGCTGACCCTTGACCAACACAGGTTTGAACTGCCCAAGTCCAGTTATGTAGTTTTTTTCAGTACTATAAATGTATTTTCTCTCCCTTATGATTTCCTTAATAGTTTTTTTTTTTCCTAGCTTACGTCATTGCAAGAATCCAGGTTGTAATACAGATGACACACACAACGTGTGTTAGTCCACTGCAGGTTATCAGTAAGGCTTCCGGTCAACAGTAGGCTGTTAGCACTTCAGCATGCAGGAAGTCGAAAGTTATTCGTGCATGTTTAATTGGGGGGGGGCAGTGCCCCTAACCTCCATGGTGCTCAAGGGTCAACTATATGAGGTGACATCACAAGTTCAAAGAAAAATGGAATTTGTTTATTTTGGTACAAAAAAAAAAAAAAAAGCTGAAATGAAGCAACCAGGTGGTATGGTGGTTACGGTAGCTGGATCCCACATGGCTGACTGTACAGTTCAAGTCTCAGACCTGGCAACTTGGACAACACACTGGGCATGCATGCATGCATGCCCCTAATCCCAAGAGAACAGAGAAGGGACTGCGCTGTGGCCATCCCCTCTGGGGGGTGCTTTCTCACGCATCCTCTCCTGTTTCTCTTCTCAGTGAGAGCATGTGCCCTGCAGCAAATTTAGAGAATGTTTTTCATTCATGCATTATTTTTATAATACACCTTTTCCATGAACTTTGTGAAGATCGCCCTATTTGTTTTAAATCTGCATCTCTTTAGAAATGTATTATTTTTCTCCTGGAAATTACACAGAACAGGAAGCGAGCAGCAGGCCCCAAATGCTGTGTTGTCCTCCTCTTCCTTTCCCTAAGCTCCACATTCCAAACCAGACTACCTTTGCAGTTCAAGACGAAACCTAACCTAAAAGCCTCCCACACAAGTTTGGGTGCATCAGAGACCAAAAGGGCATTTTCGAAAATGCTCGTTTCGAAGCCTGCCCCGAGCATTTGGGCTGATTCTAGTGTGCACCCAGGCCTGTGACCTCCGAACCAGTCCTCGCTCTTCACAAGTGAGAAAGCCGAGCACCCAAAGCCCCTGCCAAGAGGGAAGCAACAGAATTAAACACAAAGCCAGGTAGGGCTGTGAAACCCAAGACGGACTTCACTTGCCCACTTTCTGAAACCCCACCAAGATGGCAAAGGAATTTTAGGAGAAAAAGCCCACGCAGCACTAGAAAAACAGCGCTCGAGTAGGGCACCATCAGGAAACCAAAACTAGGGGACGTCTTTGAAGACGGGAGACAGAATGAGACCGCTAGTCTCCAGGGAGCTGCCGTCCAGTCCAGATAACGGACTCCGCTGCAGAAGTAACAGGCCTGCTGCTGCTCTAGTTTCCTTAAGACAGGTGTCTCACTCGTGTTGTCATCTCCCTGCTTCGGCCCCTGCGTAGTGGGGCCACAGCAATAGGACACCACCCCCAATTCTTGTTTTAAACGGTCTTGCTATGTTGTACCACCCAGCCTCGGCCTCCCGAACCCCTGGGATGACAGGCTTGCGGCACCATGCCTGGCCTTTAGGTCAGACCAGGAAACCAGACCATCCACGTGGTCCCCGCCTGTGAAGCACAGGGTCTGACACACAGCGGGGCCGGGACAGGGCTTCCCGCGTTCCCAAGAATCACTGCCCCCTGCTAAACTTGCCCCATGGTCAGTGAGGCTCACTCTCCATGCTACAGGAAGCCCAGCTCGATGACATCTCACTGTGGATGTGGGAGCAGGGGACAGAAGAAAGTGTTTAACACAACACAGCAGGACTTCTTCCTTTGATACGGCAGCTGGAAGCCCCCCTGCCGGCATCTCCCCATACATGGGAAAACACGGATCCTGCAAACCAGGAGGCGGCGGCTACAGAGGACAGAGGGTTCTGAGGACAGCCACGTCAACAGCAGGGACAGATCAGTGTGTGGACACCTCAGCTGGAAATGAGCAGCTCATGGGTGTCGCCAGGTAGCTGAAGAAAACTAGCTACCTGAAATCAAGGGCCCAAAGCCAATGAGCAGAGTGAGCGGCCTGAAACATTACTAATGACGGGAATAAAGCGGAGTCTTAACGCACCTAATTGGAACCCAGTAACTAAGTGACTGCAGCCGCAGTCCCGGCCCCAGGGGCGGCTTTCTCACTCTCCTTCTCGCTCGCTCGCGCTCTCTCTCGCTCTCTCTCTGGTGAACACATGAGCCCTCCGGCAAATGTAAAAATAACAACAATAATCATCATAATTGATCAAATTAAATGAACAATTCTTTAAAATACCAAATAATAAAAACTAATGTCTAAGTAGGTTACGTATTAGCAAGAAGAGTCGTCATCCTTACTGGCACCCGAGACAGCGTTTCGGCCCCTGAGCATTGGAGAGCGTTACTTTACCTGGCCCGTGGGCAGGGGCTGATCTAGCAGCTCGGCATCCAGGTGCTTCGGGAGGTTATACAATCTGCAGAGTTCACATATCAGCCACTTCAGCTGCTGCCGAAGCTACAAAACACATCGCAGTAAAGAAGCGTTACGTTCAAGAGCCCTGGGAAGACACGAGTCATGCTACGACTACCTCCTCGGTCCAGCAGGAAACGACAGGGCTGCCCGTGCGCGACTGCAGCCCGCAGCAGAGCGACGGTCACGGCGGTATCTTAGGGGCACTGCCGTGACGAAGCTCCCGTGGCCAGGAGCGCGCCCTGCAAGTGACACTGGCAGATCAGGCCAACGAAAAGGCAAAGGAAGGAAGTTCTTGCTATGTTCGACTTCCAGCTGCCTAACTGCTAAGAACAGGGGCACTGTTTTTGCACGTGGTTTACAAAAACTATATATTCCAGAGTCCCCTGGAAACCCATGCCCGCTGTGTGTGTGTGCGTGCCCCAAAATCCCGAGAGGAGACTGGAGGAGAAGGGACTGCGGCGTGGCCATCCCCCCTGGGAGGTGATTTCTCGCCTTCCGTCTGTCTCTACGGCAAGCACACATGCCCTATAGCAAAAATTTCTCAAAGAAAAAGAATCTAGGTGACCTTACATAGGGCATCTAACTCTGAGGCTGAGTCCCTTCATTTATGAAACAAAGAAAGCAAAACTTTCTCAGAATGGTAAGAAATTCAATAAAACTGTCGTGAAAACTCTTGGCGGTTAGTAAGCTCTTTAACACCCATCTGAAAAAAATAAGACTGCAAGGGAAACGGCAGAGAGTAACTCCGTAAATCTCTGTTTCAAAATCCAGATTATTTTGTAAGCGCATTTACTCTAAGCAAGTAAGCAAGGTAAATTAGGTGCACAAACGTGGTTTTCGTTGTTTCCAGTTTATTTCTGTGTGTAAGTTTAGCAGTCACGGTCTGAGAGGAAAGATCAGTCCTCCCTACACCCTAAGGGGAGCTTGTGAGGCAACTTCCTTGCTGGGTCGGGACACTTTTCTGGGTGTCTCTGACCGAAAAAAGAGAGGAAGAGAAAGGAGCAAGTGTGTGGAGGATGAAGAAAACAGACACAGGGTGGAAAGGGCTAAATGAAGCCAAGCAGCCTCCCCAGAGTAGACCAGGAGCAGGTGGAAACAGGAAGGCCGAGCACTAAGTGAGAGTGAACGGCATCCCACGCCTGAAAGGAAGCAGAGCCCGCTGCGGACGGCCACCCAACCAGCACGTGCCGTAGATGAGGCGGGCGGCCTGGACACTCTGACCTCTGACCCTGGCACAGGAGGAGCCCCGGGGATGCTGTGGGAGAGGCAGCAGTGGGGACAGTACCAAGCGACAAGAAAACGGGGTAATGGATCTCCCAGGAACTTCCGCTCTATACCCTCCTCTCTGCAGGAAAAAATAAAGTATGTGAGGGATGCAGGGGAGAAACGAAGATGGTGGAGGAGGAGGATTTAAGAGTGTCCACAAGGTATGACCGCATGGCGAGCAGGACCAGTGGATGGTATAAAGGTTACGTCACTGGACTCCCACATAGTCAACCATGGCTCAAGTCCTGGACCCGGTGGCACACCTGGCCCGTGTGCGTGCGTGCCCAAAATCCCGAGAGGAGAATGGAGGAGAAAGGACTGTGGTGTGGCCATCCCCCCAGGGGGTATTTCTCACTTTCTCTCTCTCTGGCAGGCACCTGCACCCATAGCAAAGATCTCTTGGGGAAAAAAAAAGGAGGGGGGGCATGAAGGACAATGTTAGGGGGCTGGCAGGTGGTGTGGTGGTTAAGGGTGCCAGACTCCACATGGCTGGCTGCGGTTCAAGTCCCAGACCTGGTGGCTTGCTTTCTCACTTTCCCTCTCTCATTCTGTCCCTCTCTGCTCAAATCAAAACAAATAAAGTTAAAGTTAAATTATTATTTTTTAAAAAAAGAACAATGATGATGCTGGAGACCGTGGGGGGAGGAGGGTGGGAAATGGGGGAGGGTGCGAGGGAAGGAATCGAGGAGAAGCAGCAGCAGAACATTTAAGAGACCTAAATGGAAAGAAATCTGTTTATTAGAATGTATATGTTAATGTCTTTGACTGGACCCATATGCAGTGTATTCAGGATGGGAAAATTCATTTGGTATGCTGTAATGATACACAGTAATTGAATTGTAAAAAATAAACAATTTTTTAAAAATTTAGTTACTATAGTTTAGG